GAAAATAATTTGTGCTTTTTGAAAGATTTTAAAATGTCCTGAGATTGTTTTAGGTCTCAGGAGATGATCTTTCTTGGGGACTGGTCTGTGTGGAAAGGGAAAATATATGTACTCTGTGTCTGTTTTATGAATGAGTTGGTAGATGGTAATTAGACCTCACTGGTTGATCGAGATGGTAACAATTTCTATGTCCTTATTCATTTTCATTTTTTCACCTTATTATCTTATGTGTTAAGATTTCCAATGGTCGTTATGATCCTGTCTGTCTTTTCCTTTCAATGTTGTCAATTGCTCATTTGCAGCTCACTTTAGCAGCATTCTGACTTTCTGTGGAATGTCTTCCCTCTGGGAATATTCAGTTTAGTGTTCTGTGTCTTCCCCACCTTGCATCTATCTCTTATGCTCTCTAATTTTTTTTTTTCTGGTTTGCAGTTTTTCTTTCCTAGTGGAAGCTTTCCCCCAAGTGTGTGGCCCTGCATAAAGAAAAGGCAGTAGCAATAGTGGTGAAGGTGCCTGAGCTGGCCTACCCTGGTAATCAGATTGGTGACTACCCTAACTGTCATCATAGAGCTTCATCTAGTAACTGATGGAAACAGATGCAGAGATCCACAGCCAAGCACCAGGCTGAGATCCAGGAGTCCAGTCAAAGAGAGGGAAGAGAGATTCTATGAACAAGGTGCATCAAGATCATGATGGGAAATCTACAGAGACTTGCCAAGCCAAACTAGTGGGAACTCATGAACTTTAGACCAACAGCTATGGAGCCTGCATGGGGCTGGGCTAGGCCCTCTGCATAAGCAAGATAGTGTATCCTTGGTCTGTTTAAGGGACCCCTGGCGGTGGGATCAGGATCCATCCCTGGAGAACGAGCTGGTTTTTTTGGAGCCCATTACCTATGGTGGGATACCTTGCACAGCCTTGATGCAGGGGGAGGGGCTTGGTCCTCCCTCAACTGAATGTACCAGGCTCTGCTGACTCCCCAGGGTGGAGAAGAAGAGATGGGGGTGGGTTGGGGGGAGGGGAAGGCTGGGGTGAGTGGGAGGAGCGATGAGAGGGGGAATCTGTGGTTGATATGTAAAATTAATAAAAAGTTTCTTAAGCAAAAAAAAAAAAAAAAAAAAGAAAAGAAAAGAAAAGAAAAGAAAAGAAAAGGCACGGGAGGATGGACTGATGGGTGAGCTTTTCCTCTAGCCCCTGCGAGGCTCCCGCTGAGCAGCTGTGTCAGCACTCAGAGCAGAAGTCTGTTCTCTTGGTTCATGGTTGAAATTCTGCTCCTCTTCGCGAGGAGAGCCTGGTGTATACTAAGGGTTAGGGCCCCTTAGGCAGGGAGAACTTTCCCCAAGCCTTGTTGTCCAGCACAGCACTCACCCCATAGCTGCCATTGAACCTTACAGGCCTAATTTCAATCGTTCCCTGGATCTGTTTTCTATCAATGGCCACCACAGCTAGGCTGGTTTAGTTAACCCCTGATTCTGGTCAAGGAAGTATTGGTTAGAATGGGTTCTTACAATTGTAGATCAAATCTTTTTACCCTTACCCTTTTACCTGCATTTAATGCCGAGTCACTATATCAAACTCCCCAGTCCTCCCAGAGTATTATCTTGGAAGTCAGCTTGTATTTTTCTTGCATTAACTGCTTTTAGGCATGTGTTTCTCAACATGTGGATCATGACCTCTTTGGGATCGATGACTCTTTTACAGGGGTTACCCAAGACTATCGAAAACAGATATTTACATTCTGATTCATAACAGTAGAAAATTACAGTTATGAAGTAAGCACAAAAATAATTTAAACAGTTTAGTATCACTCCAACATGAGGACTTGTATTAAAGGGTCGCAGCATTAAGAAAGTTGAGAACCACTGTTCCAGGCTAACACTGATAACTCCAGCTGCCCAGTTCAGGTAACTCCATACTCAGCAAGGCTATATGTCTTACCTCTCAGGCCTGGAGTGTTTTCTCTGAGTTGTTTGTGCCCTTCGTATGCATGTGTCATGTTGTTTAATTGCCTCTTGGCTCTGCCTGACTTTTGCAAACATTTGCAGTTTGGATGTAATGAATCTATCAGTCTTTCCCTTTCTGATTTATGTTTTCATCTTGCTTAAGAGCACCTTCTCTATCCCAAAGTCATAAAAATTATTAGATGAGAGTACAGGACTCAATTCTGACTTTGCTTGCAGCTATTTGATTTATACAGAACATACTTTGTTATGACTTGAAGGAGAGAAATAATTACAGGTTTTTTTCTTTTTCTATCCAGAGAGCCAGTTTCCTTAGAAATATTTAAGGAATCACCTGTCCCTTCCCTGAGGATGCTGCCTCTATTGTTTTCATCTAACTCTTCAGCATGTGGTCACTCTTTGACTCCCCACAGCTCAGGATAGTGCTTGTAGGACACAAGATCCCCACATGGACTAGGCAGTTCCCAACGCTGTCTTCGCTGTCTTCTAGGGGCACTCTTCAAGTCCCTAACCATCTCTGCAAAGTCTTCCCTGGCTACACCTCCCCATGAATATGCTCCCTCCAACCTGTGTAGTGACAGACAAGGAAGGAACTTGTAAGTCTATTATTGTGTCTTGCATGAATTTGTTAACTTGTATACTTCTTTTTAAAAGATAGCATTGTAGAAGTATAGCTGATATGGGAGGGAGAGGGGACACAAACATAGGAATATTTAATGTGTACATCTGGATATACTTGAAGTTGTGCATACATTTCTGAAACCATGACCACAATACAGGTAATAATCATATCAATGCCTCCCAAACTTCCCTACCCCCTCCTTTTGTGGTAAGAATATTAACATGAGACCCATACTTCATCCGATTTTAGGTGTGTAATACATGACTGTTGACCAGAGGCATGGTGTTGTAACGCACATCTTTATAGTTATTCAACTAGTACAACCAAAGCTTGGTGCACATTAATGTGGATATTGCCCATCCATTTCATGCCATGTTTTCACCTATGGCCACATTTCTTTATCATGGCTGTAGAGTACTTTCTTGTGAAGATTGATGACCTTTCCTTGTGACGTGTGTTTTTTTAACCAGTGATGAATGTTTAGGCTGATCTTATTTTTCAAATTTTGGCTGTTGTGAAAAATTCTACAACAAACATAGAAATGCTGACAGCTCTTCAAGATTCGTCCGCAGTATTTCTGGATAGGCACACAGGAGTTGGCCCGCTGACTCTAACGGTATTTCTTCTTTCATTTTTGAAGAGACTCTACTGTCTTCTAAGTGATTGTACCATTTGATGCTCCTCTCAGCAGGCCACGTTCCAAGCTGACCCTCCTCCCTTGCTAATTCTTGTGCTTTTATTTTTTCCCTTTTTGGGTAATTTGACAACAGTTGGCCTGCTCTGAGCTGTGAGTCACATGGCTTGTGTCCCCTTCCTCTTTATCCCTAGAACCTAGCATAGTACTCATATGCCAATAATTGTTCTAGAAATGCTTCTTCACTTTGCCCTAAGTGTGATTCCAAAGTGCTTTAGGGGCAATAGCACATGAAGCAAAGAAATTAAACTATGCTTTGAATTCTAATCTTTGCCACTCAGTTATAGAGAATGTCACAACATCGAGTTACACATTTGCTTTCATTTAACAATCTGTAAACTTCAAATATTAAAAGGCAGACGTGCTTAGCTGGAACACATATTACCAAGGCTAAAACAATAGGTGTACAAGCATAATGTGAATCATATATAGTATTGGCTATCTTTAAAACTTATTTATGTTCACACACATGATAATAACTATATCTAATAATGTGTTACGTTTGACTTTTTTATATTAATTAGAATGGATTAACCTGCTTACAGATATAATTTAGTTAATCAGTCTCTCCGCTCTCCCTGCCCCCAAGCTTTCTCTCTAGGAAGAAAAGTCTTCTCTCAACTAAGTTAGTGAAATATTTTCTGGTTTCAGGAAATCTTTCAAGTTGCCTTAAAGAAATTTCTTAAAACATTTAACATTTTACTCACCCCAAAGCTCTCAGTGGTATACTAAAATGGAGATACAAAGGAGTAATGGGAACCTAACCTGGATTACCTGTTTATTTGTACACTTCCGTGTCTGTCTCTCTCACTCACTCCAATGTTTCCAACAACTACAACAGCACCTAGCAACAAGAATATACAGCATGCACAAGGACTCTGACAATGCTGCATGATAACTGGAGGAGACACAGATTCAGACTCTGTGTGGATATGTGTTCCAAGAGAAATCTCGGGAATTCACAGATGCTATAATCAGATGAAGCTGAAATTCCATTGTCCTACTGAGGCTAGGTATCAAGTGACATTTTTAAAATGGAAAATGAGATAATAGTTGGAAAGCTCAAAACACTTTAGCATGTTACTCATCACTGAATTATCAGCTAGGCATCCAATAAAACCAACATGCAGAGAAGAGAAGAACTGTACTTTCCAGTCTCTGCTTTAGTCACAAATATGCCATCATAAGATCTAGCCAAGGTGTTAGAAGTATCTATTATAAGAATTAAATAATTCATTTTTTTCATATGCTATTCCTTAGTCATCGATTGCAAGAAAATACCCTTATTATAACAGACACTGGAAATAGTGAACACAGGGATGTTGACCAGCAATTCAGTGGATGAATCCCTGGCAGGTGCTTTCTGTGTCTGTTACAGAACTCAAAGCTCACATCTCCAGCCAATGAATTGGCATGAAGAGGCATCAGAACCTGGCCCTTTCTGCTCAGCATTATGCTCTAGAATATGGTCAAACTCTGGTCTGGATCTTATTACAGATAGCACCTTGCCTGCTGCCATTTTACAAAAGAGATAATACTAGAAATTGCTTGTTCCCTTTTCATTTGATTTTCTTGCCCTTTCACTTTCTTTCTTTCTTTTTGAGGCATGGTCTTATGTAATCCAGGCTGTCCTTGAACTTGCTCTACAGTCAAGGATGACCTTGAGATTCTGCTCCTCCTGTGTCTACCTCCCATGTGCTGAGATTATAAGTGTGTACCACCACACTTGGTTTTATACAGTGCTGGGGATTTAACCCAGGGCTAGGTATGCTTTCTGTCAACTACATCTCCTGTCCTCTGGTTGGTTTTATTTCTCCATGAAAACATAAATTACATAAATGCTTCATGAATTTTACATGTGGATTTGGTAATAATTGATGTCCTGGCATATGTTATACCTATTTATTCAATTGCACTTTATTTTGGTGAAGTTACTGTACTACAAGGGTAAACGTGGATAAATATGTATTTTTAAAGTGTAGCTTTAATTATAAAAGTTTATAGCTCAATTATAAAAGTCCATAGATTAGAGAGTATATCTGAGTTGATGCAGTGTCATGGAACAGGAAAGTTGGGTTATAGTCCAGGCTCACGTCTTATACTAAATGAGACCTTTGAATGACCCTGCCTCATCTGCGTTATGAAGTAGGAGAACATGCAAATCTTTTTTTGCCTGAGAAGAGACAATATCATGATGTGCTATGCTGTTATAAGCATCAGTACTCTTTTGAGGACAGTTCTTCTCTTCCTGTGAATGGAAATGCCATCATTAAACTATTCAAAACATTTTCACTGTCACTCAAATGAATGCTTGCTTTATGGCTCGGATGAGCTCTGTGTTCCTTGCTATGGATCTGCTAGTTCCATTGAAGTCACTGTTTACAGAGTAGGCTGAAGTCTGAGTCTGTGGCCATTTCACATCACAGTCCACATATTTCTTCTCTGTCTTCAAGCTGGTATTCACCAGGGCTTTTTTCCTCATGCCACATCTCTTCCTTGTATTTTGAACATCTAGGATTACAGATAAATAGAGCTAACTAACATTCACTGTCATGTTTAGCATATAGGACCATCCAAAAATTAGCATCCTAGGGCAAGAGGTTTTGAAAGAAGGTCAGCCTGATAACCTGTACTGAGTAGCAGTTTGGAGACCTCACACTTGGTGCAAACATTGAAGCTATCAGATCTTGTATTAGCTACTCATCGCTAATGTATGATAGCCAAGTCTGTAGTTTTCTGTTTAGAAAATTATTTTCAAAACCTACATTTGCTATTTTCATGTTGCAAAAATTTCTTCTATGACTCAAGCTTTTAAGGCATAATTGAGCTCTCAAGTTCCATTACAGAATATTTTTCTTTTGTACAGAGTCAAAAAAGTCATCCCTTGAAGACACAGACAATATAAATTTGAGATAAATGCAGATGGTAGAAGCACTGACTCCATTGAGCTAAGGATGAGCTAAGGTCCAGGATGCCAATGTGGAAATAACTGGCTGGGCTGCTTACTCATGAAGTGCCTGGCTAGAGTACCGAGTCAGAAAGCGCCTGCTGAAGGGCAGTGGCTGGGTGAGGTAGCATTGTTCCCTGTGCACACCAGCCTTGTCTTTCCCATCTATTAGTATAATGGGAAAATATTTGTAGTGTTCGATGATGTCTTCCACAGAATCAAACATCTGAAATACAGAAAGCAAAGTGAACACTTTTGAGCACATCTGGTGACTGGAGTGCAGGTCAGCTATTGTATGTTGTTACTCAGGGAAGATGAACTATTTCATATTTTGACATTGTAGAGAGACATGTTAGAAAGTGATATTGGTGGTGGTGTTTTGGAATAGGTTCTTACCCTCTAGTTCAGCCTGACCTGGAGCTCACTCTGTAGTCCAGATAGGCCTTGAACTTTCAGTGATCATCTTACCTCCGAGGCTAGCATTACAGATGTCAGCCACAATGTCTGGCTCGCTCCTTCCTTCCTTCCTTCCTTCCTTCCTTCCTTCCTTCCTTCCTTCCTTCCTTCCTTCCTGTCTTTTTTTTGAGGATGTAGCAAACAAGCAATTGAAGGATGAGTGAGAAGCACAAGGACATGACAATGGGGAATCAAAGTGCTTGTGGACCACAAGTGAGCCTAGTGGTAGCTCTTAAGTTTCCTGTCCTTAGCATTTGCCCAATCAGACCACCCACCTCAAGGTCCATCCTTCTCCATCACAGCCTTCTCACCCCCATGACTTGGATGGATTATTTATGAGGTCACCAAAAATGAAGGCCATGACTTCAATACCTGGGTGTCCTGCCATCAACTAGCTGTGTGACCTGAGGCCAACTTCTTACACTCAGTTTCTCTGTCTACAAAGAGTGGTGGTGACATTAGTTAGGACTTGCTTCTGGGGTTCTTTGTGAGCATTAATAGAGCTTATGCATGGACAACATTTGGAAGAAAGCCTTCCCTATGTTTCAGCACACAGTGAGGGTCAGTAAACGAGAGACCATGGGATGCATCCTAGACTATCTTCATAAGCCTCAGGAAGAAAGAGAGTTTTTGAATTTCACTTTCAATTTCAAACCAAGGATGGGATTGTCTTCCTTTTTCTTTACATTCAACAAAGTGGCCAATGTGGAGAACCTTTTTGTGCAGAGTTTGTCCAGTGAACAGGCTCACAGACAGCTAAGGGCAAATAATCCGATACCAATAGCTTCACTAGTCTACTCCATGGGGAGTTTCTATGAGACCACACTATTAGGAAGCAAGGCAGGTGCCACAAACCACAATCTTATCCCTTAGTAGTGGCTCCCGTGCTGTACCCACAGCTGCAATGCTGCCTGAAAAGGCTGGGAGAAAAGACTGTAATTAAGCTCCTATTTTTATCTTAGATTCCCCCCACCCAGGACCACAGCGAATGTCAAATGTCCTAATATTACATACTATAGTCTGTTTAAATCTTTTGTGTCTGTCCTATATACAAGCTGTTCCCTTTTTTTTCCTTATCAAAAAAGCAAAGAGAGAGAGAGAGAAAGAGAGAGAGAGAATCCGAGACAGAGAGACACACAGAGACAGAGAGAGGTAAGCGAAGAGCTACAGGGGAGGATAAGGAAGAAGGCAGGGGAGGTGAGGGAGAAACATACGGGTTACTGTTAACCTGTCTTTTAGTCTTAAAAACTTAAGTTGTCAGGTAAACATCTACCTTCATTTTCAGAAACTCACTGCTGCCCAGGTACCTGCATAGAGAAGCATGGATGAGTCTTGTAACCTGGGTAGCCATGACGTGGTTGTTGGTCTAGTCAGTGAATAACCAGGCATCTTGAGCTAAATATTGCACCTTCAGTACATCCATGTTTGTGACCTGGAATCTATGCTCATTACCCTATGTGTTGAAAGTGCTAATAGCATTTTGTTTTGTAAAATATACTCTTGAGTGGAAGAGCTCGCCCTAGGTTATCATGTTGTCTATTCAGAGAGAAGTAGGTGTTTCCCACGAGGCAGATACTTGGCCAAGGATGCCAAGGGTGACTGAAGTGTTTCCATTGGGGCGCCTGGATTTCAGACTTTTTTTCTCCAGAATTAAGAGAAGATGAATTTCTCTTGCTCTTAGTCTTTCAGTTTGTAGAAACTTGTGGTAGTACATTTGGAAACTAATGCAATGAGTACTCCTAAATCTGAAACCAAATAGGGATTTCTGTCTTCCTGACCAATTGAATGACCTCCCAGTTTTTTTTTGTTTGTTTGTTTTGGGGACACATGGCTTTGCTTGCTCTTTGTGCTGGTGAGGAGGGCAGACAGGTAGAGCCTTCCCTGGGTCTGGCCCAGGTGCTTCTTGTAGCCCTTGTGATATGGTGTTTGCCTTTGCCCGAGGTACACAGCCTCAAAGAAAGGGCTTTCAGGTGTCAGTCCAGATGAGACTGGATACTTCACAAGCACCTGCCTCTGTGTACCTGCCATGGTATTTATATCATGCCATCTCACACTCAGCTCCTGTGAGTTAGGAGCTACTGTCTTCCTGTGCCATTACACAGCCCACAAGATAGATGAAGTGAGTATTGTCCCCAGAAGCCCTCTTTCTCATCATGTGTTTCCTGCTGAAGTGGCCGATGATGCTCTTTGTCTGAGCACAGATGGAAGAGCTGGGATGTCATGCATTTTAGCAGAGCTTTCTGAATCTGATTCTTCCAATTCTCTTAATGATGAGACATTCCTCAGTAAGGCAAAGGGGCCAGGCTGCGGAAGGCACATGGGACCATCTCACTCTGACTATGGGGCTCAGCACTTTCCAACAGCAGCGGGAAGAATCTCTGTAGGTTGCGGTTTCTCTTAAGATGCTTGGCACACAGTAAGCTCCACAGAGGTGTTGCCCACTCTCCACCTGCAGTGCTTGGGGGCTGTTGTCAGGCAGTGGAGAAGGATGAAAAACCAAGACGTTTTCTAAGGAGAGTAAATCCCAGGACTGCTGTTTACTTACTGTCTCTGTGCTTCACTGTCACCATCTAGAAATGAGAGCAGCACTTGCCTCACAGGGTGGCTCTGAGTACTCCATGTCTCCATAGCACCTGTGTGTAAGTGCATGTATGTAAATGTTCGACAGATACCTGAAAAGGAAACTCACGTCCGGAGGGTGCCAAGAAGAGAGACTTATGGACTAACACAGGCACCAGGATCCAGTAATTGGAACAGTTTGTTAGGTGCTTATGGTGGGGTCTACAGGTGGCCTCCGTTGACAGCTCCTTACTTCCAAGACAGCCAGTGGATGGCTTGTGATCTGATTAAGATGCTGTTGGGATGTCATTATAACGTCATGCTACATCCCCTCTTTCATTAGCAGGCCAAACTGTGACATGTTGCAAACAAAGCAGAGACCTGAGTACAGGCTCTGTTTCTCCGAAGTAAATGGGACTCAACAATGTATCCTTCCTAGAGATGTTTCAAGGACCAAGTGAGAGAGCAAATTACAAATCTCCAGGTGGAGGGAAGGCCCTGGAGTATCCCTTTCCTAGTTCTACAAGGGAAGAAACCATGAAGGCCAAGCCTTTAAAAAAATCATACAATGTTTGTTGTTGTTGTTTTAAGATGAAAAATTCTGAGCTGGAAGAAGATGTTGAAGGAACAGAGCTGACACAGGCTGGGACAGATTCTGCCATAATTATTAGTTATGATTTTCTTGTGGTTATTAGTGAGTCCTTTCATTAACTAGGTGACAGCCCCATGCAGACAGAAAACTATGGTGCATAGACCAAACTGGCTCAAATTCACTGCATCCTTCAACATCTTCTGTGTGTTAGCTTTTCTTTTCTGTTTCTTAAAATCATACTAGGATTTACTTTGAAATATAGTTCATGACCACATTATTTATAACATATGTACATTGATATTCTAGCCCAAGGACAAACTTATAAAACAAACAGAAGATATAAAAGGAGATATAAAATGAGGCTACAGTGTAGAAAACAGTCCATGTTCTTACATTCAGCAAACTTATATTAAAATAGTTTCTTTTATTTTCCAGGGTAAAGTCCATATGCTTCAAGAATTAAATGCATTAATATGGCTCCTTCTTCTGTAGGTACTTGCAGTGTTCTCAACACTCAACTGTCTACTCTAAGCAGACTTTTCCACAATGACCTGGAGCCAGATCACTATCAGAATAGATGATGGGTGCTACATCTCAAAAAGCATTTTCTGAAAGCTATTGAATGATCTTCAAAGCTATTTCAATTGAAAAAAAAGGGGGGGGAGTGGACAGGGGCTGGAGAGATGATCAGTGGCTAGGAGAACTCACTGACTTTGCAGAGGACCCAAGTTCTGTTCCCAACACTCGCTTGGTGGCTCACAAACACCTATACTCCAGATCCTGGGTATCTGATGCCCCCCTCTGGCCCTCTTGAGCACCTGCATTTATGTGCACATACATACAGATACCCATACACACATATAAGTAAAAATAAAATGAATATTATAAAAGATTAGTTTAGCTTTGGTAGATGCCTAGTCACTGCATATAAGAAATAAGGCCACTGGGACTCCTATTGAACCTCATTCTTATAAGCCCATATGCCCTTCCCATATTCTCTACTGTGTGACTTGGGAAGATGCAGCTATCAATTAAGAACAAGCTGCATGTCCTTTTGGTATACATTATGGTGTTGGCTTGGATGTTCTTAAACATTTTTAACTTTCAAATGTCCACCTTATTTTTGGACCTGGCATATTTGAGATGGATGCTTATAAGCTGATTTCCCCTCCAGGGAAATCTATGGAGTCAAAACTCTTATTTTCCCTCAACAGCATTAGAAAAAGTTGATTCCTTTACCATTCCCCAAATCCAACTTAAACGGGATCATTTAAGGATACTAAGGGGCTTGGGAGTTGGCTCAGTGGGTAAGTGCAATTGCTACTTTTGCAGAGGCCCTGGCTTCTGTTCCCAGCACCCACATCTGATAGCTCACATCTCCATTTCCAAGTGATCCAGTGCCCTCTTCTGGTCTCTATGGGCAGCTGTATACATGTGGCACACATAATGTACTCAGGCACACATAAATACACACACAATAAATAAAATTTAAAGGATGCTTAGTAAAGAATAGTTACACTCAAGTACAATTGTGAAAGCGACCCCACAACTGTCATTATACTACACACAGCATAGAATAAACCAAGTGGATATAGTTTGATTATATTGCTACAGCAGCTAACAGTTTTCCTGGGCAAAGCCCCTAGTGAATTTGTTTCAGAACAAATGACTACCGTGACTATAGCTAAATGCAGACATTAGTATCTCATGTTAGACCAGACATGAGTATTTCATGTTAGGCCCGTGTTTCAAGCAGCTGAAATGCCCTTGTTTATGTATTTTAAGGATTAAGGAGAGTGGAAACCAGGTGGCTCACAGGCTTTGGGAAGGACATTTGGTGACAGTGGCTTACTATTTTCCTCTAGTGTGGTTCTGATTGAGGTCATGACAAGCAGCAATTCCAATCTGGGATTATTTGAAAAATTTGTTTTTCTCTGGTTCAGTGTGACTGCCATGTTGTCATCGACAAGTTATGACTCAGCCCTGTTTTTTCTTTTTCTTTCTTTCTTTCTTTCTTTCTTTCTTTCTTTCTTTCTTTCTTTCTTTCTTTCTTTCTTTCTTTCTTTCTTTCTTTCTTTCTT